ATTGCAAAATATTTGAAAATGAATTTGTGACTTTGTTGAATGTACAGAGCAAATCGGACTTTCCACCCCCAGCTTCTGGCTTGTTTGCTACGTGCCAGAATTTGGGGAAGAACAAGGGAATTATCGGCATATGGAGTATAAGGCTGTTGTCATGCCATGAGTTCACCAGATCTCTCTCAAGAAAAATCTGATTGATATTATTTAAATCTTTTTATTTTGAAATTTTCACACATATACAAAACTAGAGAGAATAGTATGATGAATTCCTTGTACACATCAACAGTTTCAGCAATTCTCAGTCTCCTTTCAACTGTACACCCACCCACACCCCCTTTATAATTATCTTACTTTTTTTTAAGATTTTATTTATTTATTTGAGAGAGAGTGCGCACACAAGCAGGGGGAGGGGCAGAGAGAGAGGGAGAAGCAGACTCCACACTGAGCACAGAGCCCAACTCTAGCCAATCTCATGACCCTCAGACCCTGACCCAACAAAATCAAGAGTCGGATGCTCAACCAACTGAGCCACCCAGGTGCCCCTATAATTATTTTAAAGGCGATATATTATTCCACCTTGAAATATTTCAGTGTGCATTGCTAAATGTTAGGAACAGGATTGTTTTTATTTTTCTTAGCCACATATTATCACATCTAAAAATTAATAAGAACTCCTTAATATCATCAAATAATCAGTATTCACAGTTTCCCTCCCCTCATAGTTGTTTGCCTTTTTTCTTTTTTTCATAGGTTTTCTTTTTAATGATATGCTTGAATTGGGATCCAAATGAGGCCCCCATATTACAGTAAGTTGATATGCCTCTTAAGCCTTTTTTCATGCAGAGCTTCCCCCTAAATCTTTTTTCCTTTCCAATTTTTGTTGAAGAAACTGAGTTGCTTGGGGTCTCACAGTTTTGATTTTGCATCCCCCTGGTATTGTTTAAACATGTTTCTTTCCTTTAAAATGACAGTTAGATCTAGAGGTGTTTAAATCGGATTCAGGATTAAAAATTGTAACAAGACTATTTCATAGGTGGTGCTGTGTACCACTGTTTAGAGAAACACATGATTGGTTGCCTCTTTTTGTGATGTTAGCAGCCCTTGGTAACCACTACTTAGATGCACTATAATTCATTATGATATTTAAGTGCTGATCACCAATTCCAGTGTGTGTGTGTAGGAAGGATCCCCACCAACAAGCAATTCTCAGTAGACCAGCTGGGTGTCCTACAGTTCAACTCAATTCTGACACTATCTACTTGAAAGCTGCAGCAGATTCCATTATCGAGGGCTCAATCCCACAAGCCTGCCCCTCCCCCACCCACTTTAGCCAAGGGTCACAAGGCCAGGTTTTTAACTGTGCTTCTACCCACCGGCTACCCCTCCAGCTCAGGAGGCCAATCTCAAAGTCCAGGTTGTCACCTGTATTTCTGACCATTTAGCTATAAATTAGAGGCTCCCATGAGCCCCTCTTTGTGTTTGATTATTTTGCTAGAGTGGTTCACAGAACCTCAGGAAAACAGCTCACTTATATTTACCAGTTTAGTATAAAAGGATATGCTAAAGGATACACATGAACGTCCAGACAGAAGAGATGCATAGGGCAGGGCCCGTGGAAGGGGCATGGGCTTCCACGCTCTATTCTGGCCGACCCATTCTCCCCGCACTTCCATGTGTTCACCAACCCGGAAGCTCTCTGAATCCCATCCTTTTGGGTTTTCATGGAGGCTTCATTACACAGGCAGGACTGATTAAGTCATTGGCCATTGGCAATTGATCCAATCTCCAACCTCTCTCCCCTCTCCTCCTGGGAGGTCGGGGAGGAGGGACTGAAAGCTCCAACCCTCTAATTACAGGGTTGCAACTAGCTCTGGTCCCTAGGTGCTTTCCAAAAGTCATCTCATTAACATAACAAAAGATAGCATTATCTCTCAACACTTAGGCAATTCCAAGGATTTAAGGAGCTCTATGCCAGAAATGGCAGGAAAACCAAATACATATTTCTTATTAGATCCTCTAATCCTATCATTTCTCTTCCCTTATTAGCTGAAATACTTCTACAAAAAGAAACTTTCCCTTATCAGCTTTTGATTTCTGAGATTCAGTTGTATAGGAAAGGCAGGAAAATACTTATTTTCGTTTTCAAAATTTGAGTAAGTTCCCTAGCTCCTCCAAAGCCAATTAGGTTCCCCTCCTGGCATCATTATAAACTCATGGATTTAAATATAATTCATGTTTCAACCCTTTGCAGTTATTATCCTTATTCAAGTTCAAACTGTCCCATCTTTGGCTGGTGGGAGATTTTTCAAGTTGACTCCGAAGTCTTTCTGATCCAACCCAGCTGGTCTTTGATATCCTTGCTTTCTGCTGTGAGATGTCCCAGGCTCATCTTATGTATTTTCTGACAGAGCCCTGAAATCAGCAATTTCATTAAGGAGCATTGGTAACTTTTCCTAGTAAATAGTATTGAAAAGTCACAGTATTTACATTGATGGGCTTGTGGTGCCAAGGTTGTTCATTATTTCTAGACCTTTCGATGGCAGAGATAGATTATTTATTCTTTTAACTTTTAACATTGAAATAATTCTAGATTTTTTAGAGTTTCTGTGCACCTTTCATTCAGTTCCCCCTAATGTTAACATCTGACATAACCATGGCATAATTATCAAAACCAGGAAATTAATATTGACACAATATTATTAAGTAATCTATAGACCTCATTAGAATTCTTCTCCACTCTTCCCAAAAAGACCCTTTTCCAGTCCAAAATCCAATCCAGGGTACCATGTTGCCTTTAATCATCATGCCTCCTTCTCTAGTCTATGACAGCTTTTCAGCTTTTGAAGACCTTAATGTGGATTTTTAAATTTTTTTTAAAGGTTTTATTTTTTTATTTATTTTTGCAAGGGGGATGGAGTGAGAGAGAGAGAGAGAGCATGAGCAGGAGGAAAGGCAGAGGGAGAGGGAAAAGCAGACTCCCTGCTGAGCAGGGAGCCCAATGCCAGGCTTGATCCCAGGACCCTGAGATCATGACCTGAGCTAAAGGCAGACGCTTAACCAGCTGAGCCACCCAGGTGCCCCTGAAGACTTTGTTTTTGCTTTTTTATGACCTGATTCTTTTGAAGAATACTGACCAGATATTTTGTAGAGCCCTCAATCAGTGTTTGATTATGTTGCCCCATGATTAGGTTGAGACTATGTGGTTTTGTCAAGAATATCACAGCTGGGATACTGTACCCTTTTGAGTGTACCATATCAGAAGGTACATGTCAGCACGTCATTATTGGTGATGTTAACTTGCATCACTTGGTGGTCTTTGCCAATTTTCAACTGTAAAAATGACCATTTTTCCCTTTGTAGTTAAGAGTTGTAAGTACATACTAAGAAATTTTTCAAATCTTTTTTTCACTGTACTTTTTCTGCTAGTTATACTATCCATCAATGATTCTTGCCTGTAATACTTTTTTTATCATGGTGTTTGATGTGGGTAACAAAGGCAAAGGAAAAAATTAAATTTCCTTACAACGTACAGCTCATTGACAAGTCCTTGAGACAGGAAGAATGACCTTTCTCTAGGAACTCAACTCCCTTAATGTTAATACTTCACTAAGGGCAAAAGACAATCAGCTTAACACTATCCTGACCTCCAGGATCCTCTAAGTCTCCTTTAATAAAATTCCTTTGGGGGTGCCTGGGTGGCTCAGTTGGTTAAGCGACTGCCTTCGGCTCAGGTCATGATCCTGGAGTCCTGGGATCGAGTCCCGCATTGGGCTCCCTGCTCAGCGGGGAGTCTGCTTCTCCCTCTGACCCTCCCCCCTCTCATGCTCTATCTCATTCTCTCTCTCAAATAAATAAATAAAATCTTTTAAAAAATAAATAAAATAAAATAAAATAAAATTCCTTTGGAAACTTCCTCTATCTCTACTCCCCAAGATACATATTAGCAATCATCCTCCAAGCATATGGCCCCCTGATATCCATCTGAAGGGTCTCATGACTATGGTTTTACTAGATAGTAGTAAATGACCCCTCAAGGTCCTGGAAACTTTGCTTCCAAATTCCTTAAAGACTTATGCTATCCCTAACCCCTTTCCCACTTGAAAACATACAATCAGCCACCCCTCACAACCCCAGTGCAGCTCTTTCTGCCCCTCGGTCCTGTCCCATGCTTTAATAAAACCACCTTTTGCACCGGACACCTCAAAAATTTTTTCTTGACGGTTCACTCCTGGACCCCAACATTTCCACATCAGTATTTATGCAACATTAACTTTCTATTTCTGTCATTTCTTATACATTTTTTAAGATTTATTTATTTGAGAGAGAGTGAGCACATGTGCATGCACACAAGCAGGGGGAGAGGGAGAGAGGATCCCAAGTAGACTCCCCACTGAGCATAGAGTAGAAGCAGGGCTCCATTTCATGACCCTGAGATCATGACCCAAGCTGAAATCAAGAGTCAGACACTCAAATGACCCAGCTACCCAGGCACCCCTCTTATACATTTATTAATTAGAATTCTACACCCCTGTCTGCCATTTGTCTGTTTATTCAGTTATTTATTTATATCAGTATGGATGAATGGATAGTTAGTTCCTTGGGTTATAATCCATTACTATCTTATTTATTTTATTGGTCAAACTGGTCCCGGATTTCCCCATCGGGAACTGCTACAAGTTGGCCCCTTTGTCTTTTCAACATGTTCTCCAAATCTTCTACATGCCCCCACACTATCTGGGTCCACAAGATATTCCAGCCTCACCTTGCATTTTCCCTGTACCTGTTAATATACTGGTTGCTATGTGCCAGGCACTGATCGGAAAGCTTTGCACATATTAACTCATTTTATTCCCTATGGCAAGCCCATAAAGGACACATCCCATGATTGAATCCACTTTTCTGACAAAGAAACTGAGGCACAGTGAGTTTCAGTAAATTGCCCAAGTTTCCACAGCTAGTAAGCAGTACAGCTGGGTGGCAAACACAATGCAGAATTCATGTTTTTAGTCACTAACCTGAAATTTGAACAGCAAAACAAACATACTATCTTATCTGAAACTTACCTTGAATTAATAGATAATGTACATATATCCTTGCACAGGAGGAAATAAACTCTGTCTTATAGTCTATTCACATCAGGTCAGAAGGTGGCTTCCTGGAGATACTTCATCACTTTTGGGCCTCTCAAGGGTGCCATATTGTCTCTTACACCTACTGAACCATTTGACTTAGCCTTTCCTCATCACCACTCCCAGGTCTACTCTGTTTCCTAAACTCTGGTTTTGAATCTTACATCATCAGGACTACACCATCCACTCCTTCGCCTTGTTGACTCCCAACTCGTTCCCATCATTCCTCTGGCTCCCAGCTCATTCCTCTGCAAATCCTCTCCCACTCATAACCATTTTGGTAGTCTGGCCTCTGCATTCTTTATCTTCCTCCACACCAGTAATCCTGTCCCCCACCCTATCTCAGCCACACATTACCACTGTACCCTCATCTTGGCCTTAGCAGTAATTGCAAATACTCCTTAGGTCTTTATTCTAGCATACCACTATCTAACTACAGGCTCCTAACTTTTCCATAACATACCCAGTTCCAACAATTTTTAAACCACATTGGGACATTCCATCCATTGATTCTACCAGTGTCCTCTCTTCCCTCCTTACCTGGGTTAAATCCCTTGATCAGCCATTACAAAGCAACTTTTTTGCATACACCCTCAATACCTTAACTGCTCTCTCATTTTATTTTTTTCATTTTTTAATTTAAAATCAGTTAAGTAACATATAGTATATTATTAGTTTCATGCTCTCTCATTTTAAGCTATTAGCTTGGCAAACTACAATGCTGATTAAATCCAACCATCCTTTTATTATGTACCTCACTTGACTGAAGTAAACCCCACAGCCATGATGTCAGGTCTCATGCACCTCGAGTGGGTCCTTAATGCAGCCAGAATTCACACATTTCCCTAGACCACCATCTCCTGTTTTCCTAAAGAACTCTCCCCTTCCTTCTCTTTTTCATACTTCCAACACCTCTTCCCTTGTCTTTACTCTCAGCAGATGACCAAACTTACCTCAGATAATTAAAGGAATCACAAGAACTTGAACTATCTTATACCAGTACATCTCCCAACCTATTAAATCTGCAGCACACATCCCAACCTCCTACTTGTTACTGTGTTCCTCTCTAAAACCAATCCAGCCTCTGGTGCGCTCTTACCTACTCACAGATGCCAAAACTCCAGCAATTCTCCATCTTCATCTTACATTATTTTTTGTTCACTACCGGATAATTCCCACTAGCATATAAAATCACTGCTGTTTCTCTCACCTTAATGACAACAAAAAACCTACTCTTAATCCTAACTTTCCCACCCATCCTTTTCAATAATTACCATTTCTCTGTTCTAATTAGCATCCAGACTCCTTCCAAGATTTGTCTAGACTGACAAGGAAAAGAGAGGAGAAATAATAAAGCACAAGTGAGGATATTAAGAATGTAATTACTCAAACCATACATATTTTAGAAAATATTATAAATTATCTCATACAAATAAGTGTGAAAATTTAGATGAAGTAGATAATTTCCTAGTAAAAATATGGATTATAAAATGCAATTCAAGAAGAAATGGAAAATCTAAATAAAACATAGCCCTTTTTTTTTTTAAGATTTTATTTATTTCTTTGAGAGAGAGAGCATGAGCGAGCATGGGGCAGGTGGCAGAGGGAGAGGAAGAAGCGACTCCCCACTGAGCAGGGAGCCCAATGTGGGCATCGATCCCAAGACCCTGGGATCATGACCTGAGCCGAAGGCAGACACTTAACCAACTGAGCCACCCAGGTGCCCCAAAACATAGCCTTTAAATAAATTGAATCAGTAATCAAAATCTCCACCCTATTTCCCCCCCACCAAAACAACAGCAGGGACAAACGATTTCATAGGCCAATTTTTTAACACCTGATGGAAGAGGTAACTTCTGTATTAGCCAACCAAATTACTATATGAAACCAGTATTATCGGGGCGCCTGGGTGGCTCAGTTGGTTGGGCAACTGCCTTCAGCTCAGGTCATGATCCTGGAGTCCCGGGATCGAGTCCCACATCGGGCTCCCTGCTCAGCGGGGAGTCTGCTTCTCCCTCTGACCCTCCTCCCTCTCATGCTCTCTGTCTCTCATTCTCTCTCGCAAATAAATAAAATCTTAAAAAAAAAAAAACCAGTATTATCTTGATAACAAAATCTGATATAGTCAACATGAGAAAAAAAAAATTATAAGCCATAACAGAAAGAGATTTACTTATAAAGGTAGTTTTATTTTTTAATCCTGAAAAAGAAGTAGAATACTAGCCTGGGCTTACATGAAGCATAGATGCAGAGACAAATACTTTGATGCAGGTAGTTTGTTTTATAAGCGATGGGAATTATCACAAGTGAGAAAGTGGACCAAGTAAGAGAGTAAAGAAAAACCAATAAAGTGAGCATCATGAGTGAATTACTGATCCTCCAAGAACCATGTGAAACATACTTTAGGATCATGCCAGGTAAAGGTGGAGAATCTGGAGGCTTTGTCCAACAATTCTCACCCCCATAGGCCTCAAACAGGCTTTTGGGTTCTGGATAAAGCCCGCAGGCAAAGAAAAAAGAAGCGTTGAAGTGGGAAGCTCACAGAAAGTTAAAAACCTCTTCACCTGAAGCTGCAGGTGAACTCATGTATACATAAGGTCATCATCTGCTATCAATAATGAAAAAGTGCTTTCACTCCTTTTCCTTTTTAAAGAGATACTTTGACTGTGATATCACCTTACCTTTGCTTCCACAGTACTTATTCTTTAGAATTAGTCTTTATAACTAGTGCTCTAAGGAAAGGTGCATTATCTCTAAAAATCAGGTTAAGAAAACATATTCACAATGGTTTTTAACCTGCAAAATGATACTAAAAGTAGCCAGTCAACTGTGACTCAACTGTAACATTGAATTTAGCTCCTGAAGAGTGTATTTATCAAAAATTGCCAAGTTTCTGATATTCTTGAGTAAATGAACATGGTCAGCCCGATTAGTTAATTGGCTTCAGTTCATCATATGTTCTGCAGAAGGTCATACCTCAAAAAATATCCACTTAGTATTACTTTGTGTGGGCCTCTGAAAGTGGATAGCAAAGACCCAGACACATGAGATCCAAAAACTGTTAGATTTCATTTGTTTGTTTCAGTTGGTCTCAGGCTATTCAGAATACAAAATAGTTAACCATCTCAAAAGAGTTAACCATCTCAACCCTTGCATATGAACCAATGAAACTAAGCCTTCTTAGCAGTAGACATTTCTATAAAGGATAAAGAGACAAAATGGTTGAGTGCATGGACAAAGAAGAATGTGACACCAACCATTCCTGTCCTCCCAATCCCATGCCAAGGCTCCAAGACAACAGGAAGTCATCGTCCAGGTGGCCTCTGCAGATGAGTACCTACCAAAGCTCTGGTCCAGAAATTGCAGAAGGGTGTGAGTTCATTGTAAGGGCACCATCTGAGCATGAAGGAGGTGCTGGAGCATTAGACAGACCACATAGCTGTGGCTCAGATTTCACAGGTTCCCTCCTCTGGCTCTTTTCTATCAAAAAACAGGGTCTACCCTTCACTGGTTCATCTTCCCAAAATTGCTATGCCAAAAGAGTGGACTTAAGTTCTCCATAGCTTCTTTACTTCTAAGAGCTGCTAGGAGAAGAGGGAGGCCATGTAGTTTGCTGGGTAAGAGCAAGGTTTGAAATAGTAGAAAAGAATACACTCTTACAATCAAATCTTGCAGACCAGTCAAAAACTGTCTCTCTTGGAGTACATTCTGAGGCTTAGTTTAAAAGCTCTCATTTTCTCTCTTTCCAAGATAATCACAACAGTGATCTTTAATAAAATTCCTTTCTTCTTTCTTTTTCTGCATGACTTTCTTTCAGAAGCCAATGATAAATAAAGGTGGTTCTCCCCAAAATGGGATACAAGTATGGCTACACAGCTCTTTTTTAAGATAGGTCATCCTTAATCATTAAAACATCCAAATACGGGGCTTCTTCCTATCTCCAAATATTTTTGGTGAAAAGATTTAAAATTTGAACAACCACAAATACATTGTTAAATAGAATGCAAAAGTCACATTAATTAAAATAAAATATTAGATTCCAAAAATATTTTTTTTCTTTTCTACAGCAGCTGGTATCTGACTACAACCACCACCATCACGACCAACGCCACCCTCACCCCAACTCTTTTCTCCGCCATTGATTACTTTGGGAGAAAGATTTGAGAAGCACTGTTTATAGTGGCATCTGAAGGTGAATGAGGGCACAGTAATTTTATCTTATAACCTGAGACATTTGGAAAACATCCAGAAATCTGAGGACCACAGATTCCTTGGTGGTTTATCATTTAGCCTTTGTCTAGTTCTAAGTTTCTGAGGGTTACATAAGCTTGCATTTTTAACTTCTCCACATGGACCTCTGTGAGGAAATTCTTAATTTTTAGCTACTTTACATGTGTATATGCACCATTTTGGACATGTAACACACACACACACACAAACACACACACAGTGAGAACTCTTGAGACAACAGGCCCAAAAGAGTAAATGTTGGAATTCAAGAGCTAGATCCCCCCAAAATACCCTGCTAAAGACAGTGTCAACTTATAGTAAAAATGTGAGGCTTGTACCACTAGCCCGTAGAAGCTTTCAAAAAATGTTTTCCTAACATTTTGATGCTTCTCCCCAGACACTAAGCAGCCATGGCTTCAGAGAGGCCCTAATGTGGCAGCTCACCAGAACTCCAACAGGTTTTTTTTTAAAGATTTTATTTATTTATTTGACAGAGGGAGACACAGTGAAAGCAGGAACACAAGCAGGGGGAGTGGGAAAGGGAGAAGCAGGCTTCCTGCTGAGCAAGGAGCCTAATGTGGGGCTCAATCCCAGGACCCTGGGAT